AACTGAACTCTATACAGGTATGTTCCAAACTCCTAGGGAACAGGTGGCCATTGGGAGAGCGTTAGACTGAAGGTCAAACTCCTACGGGATGGAGTACTTCTAACTGAACCCTATATATACTATGTTTTTTCCTATACATAATACTTATGACAAATTTATAAATTAGACACAGTAAGAGAATATCTGAATTGCCAGCATCACTACTCTTGTGCTTTGGGGTTAATATTAAGTAAAATAAGAGTGACTTGAATACAGGCACTGCAATATCGTGACAGTGGGTCTGATAACCGTGATAGCTACTAAGTGACGATCAGGTAGGACATTCTGGACAGAGGGATGATTTACATCATGGGTCGGACAGAGCAGGGTGACAAGAGATTCTACCATGAATCTCAGCAAGGCACACAATTTAAAGCTTATGGATTGTTTATTTCTGGGACTTTCCATTTAATATTTTCAGATCTCAGTTGAGCCAAGGTAACTGAAACTATGGAAAGCAAAACTACAGGTAAGGGGAGGGGATGCCTATATTGTGGTGAAGCATTCAGCCTCAAGAATTATGTCTAGAAAAAGGATAGAAGAGATACTCACTGAATTATTTTACTAGAAAATTAGCTGCAAAACACATCAATTATGGAAATCACATGCAAATTAATTAAATAGCATTAAAAATCCAAGTCCCCTTCCACCAACCTCCCCCTTTTTTAACTATTTCAGCCATGTATAATTACATAGTCCATGGTGTTAAGTACATTCACATTACCATACACTCAGCTTTTGATGAAGAATCTAGATCATCTTTGTACAAATCAGGAGTGGAACAATCCAAGAAAGAAGGGGAGGGGAGGAGAGAGGAAAGGAAAGTAAGAAGGCAGGGAGGTAGGAATAGAGGTAAGAAGGAAGGGAAGGGACTTCTCTGCATGCTCAGTGGTTAAGAATCTGCCTGCCAGGGCAGGGGACGTGGATGGGTTCAATCCCTTGTCCGGGATTGAACATGCTGCAGGGCAGTTAAGCCCATGCACCACAGCTGTTGAAGCCTGCATGCTCTGGAGCCCTCTGCCACAACTGCTGAGTCCGGGTGCTGCAGTTGCTGAGCCTGTGTGCCTAGAGCTTGTGCTCGACAAGAGGAGAAGCCCCCACAGTGAGAAGCCCGCACGCTGCAACTAGAGACTAGCCCCAATTCGCCACAACTAGAGAAAGCCCACGTGCAGCAATCAAGACCCAGTGCAGCCATAAATGAATCAAAAAGAAGGAAGGGAAGAAGGAGGGTCATCCCAAGATAGCTTTAGCTTTCACTTGCCTTACACACTTAGAGAGTTTGACAGCTGTGAGCTCTCATAGCTGAAAAAAGAACCATGGCAGTGCTACAGGTGGGATTTCAAAGACTGTAAAATAGGTGTCAAACTGTGTTGCACCCTATTTTTGGACCCAGGTCTCTACTTTTTTACATTCAAGGCTTGAAGTTTGTTGAAATTTTGCATGGATAACAAGACTGCAGTTGGGATGGTTTTCCCTTGATCAGTGGGAAGCTGTTACCAAGCACCTTCTATGTGCAGAATAACAGACAATGACACAGTCAAGGGTCTTAACAGGAGCAAAGGATATGCACATTAATATAAATCACAAATCAGGGGTAGCAGAAGTCTGTTTTTAAAAAAAACTTTTTATTTTATGTTAGAGTATAGCAGATTAACAGTGTTGCGATAGTTTCCGGTGGAGAGCGAAGGTGACTCAGCCAGACATAGAGGTGTATTCATTCTCTCCCAAACTCCTCTCCTGTCCATGCTGCCGCGTAATACTGAGCAGACTTCTCCGAATGACAGCACAGGTCTTGAAGACAATGTTTTGGTACAGGAGTTCAGAAAAAGGAGCGACTTCTGCAAGCTGGGATGATTTTTGCTTAATTGTTACAATGGCTCTGCATTCACTTAGTTCAAATTCTAATTGAAATCAGATGTCAATAAAAATCTCACTTGGTTTACAGAATTTGAAACACTATGCACAAAAAAGGGCAAGAATTATGTCATTTCAAAGCCAATCTGCCAAACCATTTTTATTAATGCTACAGGATGACTGCATGGTAGATAGAAGAGACATACCCAGCATTCTTTGTCAGTCTTCTGGGAAACTAGGTCTTGAATTATGAGAGCTGTGATTAGTGAGAGCGCCTCAGGAATGCCTTCCTCTGTTAAATGCGTTGCTTTTGTACTCTAAAGCTTCTGATGTTCTTGAGGGCAATTGGACTGATTTTACTGCATTATTTTATTTTCCAGTGGAAGCATTACTACTCCAGTATAATGGAACAAACTTTTCTGTGGATGAAATGGAAATATTAGGTTGGCCAAAAAGTTCCCTCGGGCATTTCTGTACCATTTTATGGAAAAATATGAACGAACTTTTTGGTCAACCCAATACCTTGAAAATGTAAACCTCTTGTATGAAAGCAAAATTCCCAGTATCTAAGTGGCCAAAGATGACCTGTCATGGTTTGTGGAAGATATTGTTACTTCCTATGAATGAGACCAATGTTGGAATTGCAAATAGAACCCTCACGTTTTAAGCTATGTTGCTAAGACTTTGCAGAATTTATCAAGAAAGTGGTCAGTGGTTTCAAATGATGGCTAATCCTACCCAGAAGCATTGGAAAATGCATTAAATGCAACTATTCACTGTCTGTTCGTGGTGAAGCTGACCCGAAGACTACGCCATAGGTCTTCATGACTAAATTCAAATGGTGACTTTAGTTGGCTTTTTTTTAATCTGTGTGAAATTTTTGTTAGAAGATATGAGTGTTGATGCATAATTATTGCTTCTAATCTTTGATTCTAGCACACTTACTCAAGTGTTTCTTTTTTAAATTAATTAATTTATCTTAATGGAAGGACAATTAATTTACAATATTGTGATGGTTTTTGCCATTCATCGATATGAATCAGCCGTGGGTACACCTGTGTCCCCCCATCCCGAACCCCCCTCCCACCTCCCTCCCTCCTCTATCCCTCTGGGTTGCCCCAGAGCACTGCTTTGGGTGTTCTGCCTCATGCATCCAACTTGCACTGGTCATGTTTTACATATGGTAATATACATGTTTCAGTGCTGTTCTCTCTAATCATCCCACCCTCTCCTTCTCCCACAGAGTCCAAAAGTCTGTCCTTTACATCTGTGTCTCTTTTGCTGCCCTGCATATAAGATCATCGTTACTGTCTTTCTAAATTCCATATATATGCACTAATTACAGTATTTCCCTGGAGGAGGGCACAGCAACCCACTCCAGTATTCTTGTCTGGAAAACCCCACGGACAAAGGAGTCTGCAGAGTTCAGTCCATCGATTACAAAGAATCAGACACGACTGAAGTGACTGAGCACATACAGTATCTGTCTTTCTCTTTCTGACTTGGGAGCTTAGTGAAGGCGCTCAGTCGTGTCCGACTCTTTGCGACCTCATGGACTATAGCCTACCAGGCTCCTCCATACATGGGATTTTCCAGGCAATAGTACTGGAGTGGGTTGCCATTTCCTTCTCCAGGAGATCTTCCCGATCCAGGGATCGAACCCGGGTCTCCCGCACTGTAGACAGACGCTTTACCATCTGAGCCACCAGGGAAGTCCTTTCTGACTCACTTCACTCTGTATAATAGGATCCAGTTTCATCCACCTCATTAGAACTGACTCAAATGTGTTCCTTTTTATTAGCTGACCTTTTGTGTAAATTAAGATCATTTGGCAGGTGCATGAAAAGATGCTCAGCATCACTCATCATCAGGGAAATGCAAATCAAAAGCACAATGAAATATCACCTCATACCTGTCAGAATAAATCAAAGAGACAAAAATAATAAGTATTGGTGAAGATGTGGAGAGGGGGAAGGTTCACATACTGTTGAAGCCTTGCTTGGAGAATTTTGAACACTACTTTGCTAGTGTGTTGAGATGAGTGCAGTTGTGCAATAGTTTGAGCACTCTTTAACATTGCACTTCTTTGGAATGGGAACGAAAACTGTTTGTGTACCATTGAGGGGAGTGTAAATTAGTGCAACCACTGTGGAAACAGTATGAAACCACTATGGAAATAGTATGGAAATATTTCCTCAAAAAATTAAAATTAGAACAATCATATGATCCAACAGTTTCACTCCTGGCTATTTATCTGATGAAAATGAAGACACTAATTTGGAAAGATGTATGCGCCTGCATGTTTATTACAGCATTATTTACAATAGCCAAGACATGGCAGCAACCTGTGTACAATAATCGGAGTAGCTGAAGGAAATGTGATTTCATATATATATATATATATGTATAAAGTTATATAGTGTATATAGTGGAACATTATTCAACCATAAAAAAAAATTTTGCCTTTTTTGACAACATGAATGGACCTTGAGGGTATTATGCTAAGTGAAATAAGTCAGATAGAGAAAAACAAATGTCTTTATATGTGTCATATGACTTCACTTACATGTGGAATTGCATCTAAATATATACACACATATAAACAACAAACACAACAAACCACTGAGTTTATAGATGTAGAGATTAGATTGGTGGTTGCCAGAGGTGGAGCATCGGGGAGGTGGGCAAAATGTGTGAAAGGGTAAAAAGCCAGCTATCATTTGGGTCTGGTTTTGTTTGACAGGGCCAGCTCATAAGTCATTTTTAGACTGAGTCAGCAGATGTTAAAGGATGAGTGAGTAGATGGAATGTGTTAAGCAATTTAGAATGGGGGAAAATAATGGAATAAGAGATCTCTGCACTTTTGACATTTCGCATGTAAATCACATTATAAATAATATGCACCAGTTACTTGATTCAGGACCTCAGACCTTTCTGTAATGGATTTGAAGCACAAAATACAGTATTTATAGCCAGCGTGGAGTCTTCACTTTCAAGGATGGTTATACTCTTGGGGCTAGAAAGCCAGCTGAGCTCCACTTGTGAAGAGTTCTGCCATGCCAAGGCAGTTGACCGCTCTTTCTTTCCTCTTCTCCACTGTCCTGCAGACCAGACGACGTGCTCCTGCATCGCACGCATGACGAGATAGTCCTCCTGCATTGCTTCCTTTGGCCCCTGGTGACGTTCGTGGTGGGTGTTCTCATTGTGGTCCTGACCATCTGTGCCAAGAGCCTAGCAGTCAAGGCAGAAGCCATGAAGAAACGCAAGTTCTCTTAAGGGGAGCCGGCTCGTGGGAAGTGAAGCCCAGTAGCTGCTCTCGTCCGCACACATCTACCTGCAGAGCCTGCTTCCCGGCCCAGGAGATGGAAGGGGCTGTGAGAGGTCTCCGAGAGGCTCCCCCTCAGTGACAGCAGAAGCCGGCACAACCGGAAGACCTGGAACCTCATCGATTGTTTTCCATGTGTCGTAGCAATAGCTGCAGGGTCAAGCTCTGAGCTGTATGGAGTTATCTGTTTCAGAAAATCCTATAGAAGTTAATTTTCTTCGGGGAAGTAACAGTATATAATTGTACAGTGTAGAACACAAACTATTATGATTTATGCTACCTAAAAATATTAAAATAGAGTGGTCTGTGTTCTTTTCTATTTCCTTTTTTATGCTTTGAACACCAGGGTTTTCAAAAAGGGTCTTATGGGTTTCATTTGATTTTGCTAGGTGAAACTTTTACTTGGACACAGGGATTCCTGCACAAATCTTGACCTCACAATGTAACCTCCAGTCTCTAGTATGAAGGAGTACGTTAGACTCCTATTTGAAAAGGAAAATCTGCCACTGTTAACTCAGTCTCCAGTCACTTCTGTGACTCTCCAGCAAGGAACCCTCAAAGAGGAAAACATTCTCCCAACACTCCATTGTTTCTCACCAGATTATTTCTTAAGAGAGGGAGGTGATTCTGAACAAGGTCTGTCCTAGCTCTAAGAGCACTGTGCCTCGTCATTCATCTGTTCAGGTAATTTTTGATGGATTTTTGTCTCTCTGCAGTAGAATGTACATGATGTGAAGGACACATTTCAGCTTAGTTAAATGCGGTTTTCATTTTTCTTTTAGGTCAGGAAAAAACTGATCAAAATCAGTTAATTTTATTTTCTTTGTCCTTGCCTTGATGTTTTCACTTTCAAAATGAGAATATTGCTGCATTTGTTAATGTTTGCCTAGACAAGCCTGGAGATGCAAGCCAGCTCACATCACTCTGCTTCTGAGCTCTCTGCGCCTTTATCAGAAGTTCATGGAGGAGACAGTACTTCTTTGCATCTGTTCATACACTCAGATTCCAAATATCAATCACATCTAAGTGACTATCGAAGCTCCTTTATTGATTTACCATGTAGAATCAAACCTTTGCTTACAAGAGATGTACAAATTTTTGGTTGAGGAAAAACTGACAACATACACTCTATTTGCTTTCTTCTTATATTCTTCAGACGTGTTTCTGTTAGAATGAAGACAAATTGGAATGTAAGGACAAGCTACCCTCATTTATTTTGCTCAGCATTCTAAGAAAGATACATGTTAGTGGCTTGATGATTTCCTGACTTTGGGTCCACATAGAAATGTTTTCTTAAATTTAAAACTCAAGTAACTGAAAGAACCATTGTCATCTGTGGAAGACTAGGTGTTGGATGAGTAAGATATTTTTCTTCCAATTCAAGTGTTACAGATTTCACTGTGAAAAAGGCCTTGAACACACTATTTATGACATCCTTTGAGGCAGCTACAGTGCCTTGACTTCAATCCCAGTTTTCTGTTGCAGCATCCCTGTTGTCTCAGCAACAAAGTGAGCCATTCTGAAGCACAGAGTAACGTGAAACTGGGGCTCGGAGAAAGTCAGCGTCATTGCATTACATTGTGGGAGATGTATTGTGTAGATGAAGTCTCTTTATCCATTTTATCTAAATCCAATAATCTGTAATTAATTGATTACAGGGAGTTGATAAAAACAGTGCGTGAATATACATGTTGGTAAAAAGGGAAGTTGATATATATTGATGTGAGTTTTTATTTGCCAGTTTTTATCCATTTATATTAAATTAAATAAATGCTTCTATTTAGGCTCAAAGAGTATACCTGGTGATATTCTGTAGGTTGATTTTTGGAAAAAAGGAGAAGCACGCTGAATTACTGAGGTCACATATAATTTTAAAATCTTCCTTGCTTGTAGCTAGTTAAATTTGATGTACTTTATTTATACTTATCATTAAAGATAAAATGCAATGGAACAACATTTTTAAGATCACAGAAGACAAAGAAGCTTAACTATTTAATATTTCAATTCTCTTTTTTTTTTCTAAATATAAATGAGGAAATGGTATAAGCTGCTGGAACAGAAACCCCCAAATATGATGACTCATGTAAGACAGAAGTTTCTTTCTTTCTCTTATGGCAATCTGGAGGTGCCTGAGAAGTGACCCAGGTCAGGGAGGGCAGGTCTGTTTCTTAAGGTAATCAAGGAACCCAAATTTGTCTACCTTGTCCTCTCATTACCAAAGGTGTTATTCATCCCATGGTCAAAGTGGGCTCAAAAATACACCACATTCTGCCGCCCGTGAAAAGAGAGCACTTTGGGAGCTAGCTATTGGGTTGACCAAAAGTTCGTTCTGGTTTTTTCATAAGGTGTTAACCTTTTGGAAAAGTCTGTACAAGCTTTTTTGGCCAACCCAGTGCTTCCTTTTAAGGAAGTTCCAGCCATCACTCTGCTCATAGTCCATCCATGAATACTGATTACAGAAGTACACCTAGCTTCAAGGAAGACTGGGACATGTTGTCTCCAGCTAGATGGATATATGTCCTATTAAAGCTCCAGGAAAAAAGGAAAAGGGGAGAATGATACTAGAGTTAAAGACAGGAATGATGGGCAGCTGTCAGTGGCCCATGCTGCGATGAAAATCTGGGCAGGGATGACAAAGATCTGTTGCCCTGGCAGGATGTACAGTCCTTGGTTAGACCTTGAATCTTCTCTCTGGGAGAAACTCCCTTGTCCTCTGTTCTCTCTGGCCTCTACTTTGACTTCTAGGAGATTCTTGCTCATCAGACTTCATAGCCACATCTGAAGCTTTTGGGAGGCATCACAGTTTTTTTTTTTCCCCACCTGCTGGTGCAGATTTGTAGAGTAGACCTAGATTTCTTTAGAGACCGAACAAATGTAGATTTTTCAAGTTTATAGGGTTGTTGTTTAATTGACTGCAATAGGGAGTCTGACTCTATTTTTGATGTTGGGATGCTAACAGCTTTCCCTTTCTGCTCCCCTTTTCCTTTCCCTTTCTGCTCCACATCTGGGCAAGCTGATTAGTGAGCCTGGGTACCCCCTCCTTTGGACTGGGTGGGAAGTTCAAATCATACAAGCCCTGGTCTGCTTGCAGGAACCCACTCCCTGCCCCACACCCTAAGAATAATAAAGTCAAACCAGTCAAGTCATTTTTGGATCTGCTTGGGAACTGCTCCACTCTCCTAGAAAGTCTCATTCATTGTGTGGATAATAAAACTTTTCATACCCTCTTGATGTGTGTATGGTTATTAGTCTCAACATCCAAACCAAATTTGGGGTAATGGGTTTTCATGTGGCCTCTGAAGGGTTGCTTACAACATTGGTGATGAAATTTCATCAAAACATGGTTTTTGGTGTTTTTGCTTTTAGTTTTGTTAGTTCACACAAAAGTATTCACAGCCAAAGAGCTACTCTTATTATACTTCTTAAGGCAGCGGCATCTTATTTACTAGTCTCTGTGCTTGGCCCGCGTCTCCATCCCTCAGTTGAGTGGCAGCCACTTTGAAGCCTTCTGGAAAACCAGGTTTAAGTGAGAATGCTTCACCCTTTAGCTGGTCTTTTCTGCTCAGCTGACTTCCGTTGTCTGGTCAGTAATATTGGGATACTCAGTGGAGACTTTCAGAGAGACTGCATAATAATTTGCTTTTTGGTGCATAGAAACGGTTGGGCTGCAGGATATGATTTTAGTTCCTGAAACAAGGCTGAATCACCTACTTGTAAGTAGTTTTTCTTGTTTCACTATTTTTCATAGTTCCTTGCCAAAAAACAGCAATAAAGCAGCCAATGCACATCATCACTCTGCTTTTTTTTTTTTAATTAACTGTTGTTTTAAATGTTTATTTATTGATTTATTTTTGGCTGTACTGGATCTTTGTTGCTGCATCAGGGTTTCTCTAGTTGCGGAGAGCAGGGGCTATCCTAGTGGTGATGCGAGGGCTTCGATGGTTGTGGCTTGAGGGCTCCAGAGCATCGGCTCAGCAGTTACGGGGCCCAGGCTTACTTGCCCTGCGGCATGTGGAATCTTTCCTGGCCAGGGATCAAACCCTCATCCCCTGCTTCGCAAGGTGGAGTCTCAACCACTGGACTCCCAGGGATGCCCCACTCTGCTTTTTTCTAATTACTTGCCACAAAGCTATAGGTTTGCCTGTCAAGTCGTCACAAGTGCCAGTTTTATCTAATGGTTAGCCAAAGCACAAGGGTCTCTAGTTTTCCATTCTGTAATATCTGTTTCCTTGCTGCCTGGCAACAATACATAGCCACATATTTTATTATGACAGGGATATAATTTACATGGCCCTTCTCTCTTTTTTTATGGAGTATGGTTGCTTTACGTTGTTGCCTTAGTTTCCGCCGTACAACGAAGTGAATCAGCTACAGGATACACATACTCCTTCCCTCTTGAGCCTCCTTCCCACCCCCCATCCCACTCCTCTAGACCATCACAGAGCCCCGAGCTGAGCTCCCGGGGCTACACGGCAGCTTCCCACTAGCTAGCTATCTTTCACATGGTAGTCTATACATGTCAAGCCTAATCTCCCAGGTCATTTCACCCTCCCCGGCCCTCACTGTGTCTACACATCTGTTCTCTGCTAGAGTCTGTCATGCAGAGCAAAGTAAGTCAGAAAGAGAAAACACAAGTATCATATATTAGTGCATGTATGTGGAATCTAGAAAAATGGTACAGTTAAATCTAGTCCCAAGACAGAAATAGACATGCAGACATACGTTGTCTTTTTCTGAATGGTCTCATCTGATGATCTCAGCTGTTGATTCCCACATCTATTCTCTCCTGTTTTGAGCTCTGAATGTATTTGCAATAGCTCCAATGAATTCTTTATTAAGAATAGCAATGGGTAGACAATTCAATGATGACAAATAATGCTGGTGGCTCAGATGGTAAAGAATCTGCCTGCAATGAAGGAGACCCAGGTTCGATCCCTGGATCAGGAAGATC